AAGGAAAACTTTCAGTATGTGGGTAATGATTCTGTATGTGGGTAATCATTCTGCATGTGGGTAATCATTCTGCATGTGGGCACAGAGAAGGAAGAATACCTTTGACAGAGAAAAGGAGCAAGGATTTGAGCAGAGCACCACAGTGGAGATAATGCTCAAGATAAGACTGGAAGAACAGGAGTTGGCAAGAGCAAGAAATGGATGGTCATTCCAGAGAGGGCGCCTCAGATGGAAAGATGAAAAGCTGTGAGAATATGCTTGGTATTTCAGGAACTCTAATTGGTTTCCTGTAGCATATGAAGATCTGCAAAGAGGAAAATCCTCAGAGGTAAAGCTAGAGAGGTTGGTGCAGTGTAGCTCTGATCGAATAGAAATGCAGAACAAGGTTCTGTTTCAGTGGGAGGCTTTAAGCAGGGAAATAACAAGGCAAGATTTGTATTTTAGAAACACATTCAAACTGATTGGACTATTAGATAGATAATGTCACAGAGTAAGAGCCTGCTACAGAGTCAAGGTAGCCCTTGTGGTCCTTGGTTACTGGTTCTTATGATCACATTGGTAAGATTTTAGACATGTTGCTCAGAGTGGTGGACATGAGTTTATTAGAAGGCATAAGAAAAGGGGTAAGGGGGATACTCAAGAATGAGAATGTGTATCTTTAAAGAGGAGAAGGACAGCATCCCCCTCCTGCCCTCCAGATTTTTGGAGTTTTGGGAGAGTCCTGCCCAGATTCACCTCTTGACTTTTTTTTTAATACATATTTTTTAGTTGGACATAATATCTTTATTTCATTTATTTATTTTTATGTGGTGCTGAGGATCAAGCCCAGCACCTCACATGTTCCAGGTGGAGGACTCTACCGCTGCTATAGCCCCAGCCCCTCACCTCTTGACTTTTGACTGACTGCAGGATTGCATCAGACTTTCAAGTCCCCATCATGTATGGTAAAGATCCAGAGCAACTCGACTGACCATTCTAACTATCATTTCTCCCTGAATTCTGGAATTTTGTCTGTGTAAAGGTCCCAAAGGTCCAGCTTCAGGATAACTCGTGTTCTTATTGCCTTTCTTCTGGCCTGCATTTATGCTACAGATAACATGTTATTTGCTGAGGAATGTAGGGTATCCTATTGACTTAAGCCAGGCAGGGCTTTTTAAAAGAAAGCCTGTCAGGGTTAGCATGGTGGGTCCAGTTTATAGAATTACCCCTTAACCAAACATTCCCAACTGCTCACATCTGTCTACCTATCAGCAAGTAAAATGATGCCTATAATTGGACCTCTGGACAGCTCTGATGATGAATGCCCTTCACTGTCCATGGCCCACCTGATAGAGAACAAGGACTTTGGGTTATTTCCCCCAATTTTGCCCCCTTTCAAGCAGGAAGCAGTTTGGAGATGTCATCACCCATTTTTTAATAGAAATGGAATGTAAAAATTGACAGTGGGGAAATGTAACTGGTCCCACTTTATGCTTTGAATATAACCCTTGCTACTCTGCCACTGCCACTGATTTTTTTTTTTGTTCTACATAACAACAGAATGCATTTCAATTATACGCAAAATAGAGACTGCAACTGATTTTTAAAATGGACATGTTTCTTTCTCTTCCTCTTTCTGTTCCTCCCTAATCTCTCCCCCTCCCTAATCTCAGGGGAAACAGGATTACTTTTCTTGCTCATCCTAGGCAGAGTTATCTGTCCCTGACTACACACCCACCATAGGAATGAAGTAATCCAGACTTTGGGGATGGTACCAGAAGATCTCAGAGAGGACTATCTCCCAAATTAACAAGCGAATTACAACTCCAGACAGAGAACACATGGGATGTAGCCTTTGAGTCACCTCTTTAAAAGCCCCTTGTTCCTGCAGATGGGCAGAACTATAGCTTTGGGGACAGGAGTCTCTGTTTCTACTTTTCCTAACAAAGTAATAAACTTTCCTTTTCCTTTTTCTCAAAAAAAAAAGTGATGCTGACAGTAAACCCTTTTGGGTACCTACTGTGTGCCAGGCACAATGCTGGAGATGATAAAACAGATACACCTGTCAGAAATCTTCAAAACAATTCAGGCAAGCTAGGGTCAGCCCAAGGTGCTTGAGGAGCTACTAAACAGCAGGATTAACAGCCTGCCTTCCCAGATCCAAATCTCAGATCTATGAGTCATTAGGTATGAAACTGAGCAGGTCATGTAACTTCCCTGAGTTTCCATTTCTTCAACTGTGAAATGAAAGAATAGGACCTACCTCATAGTTATTGCCATAAATGTTTGTAAAGCCTTTAGCATGGCTTCTAGAGCACAGTTAAGTGCTTTGTGTTAGTTCTTATTATCTGAAAAATAGCAAAGGGTGGAGACAGAAGCCAGCACTCCAAGAAATATTAAGAACTAGAAAAGATAGGAAATGAGGCAGAAAAGACTGTCTAATTCATTACTTTGTCTTTGGCAATGAGGCAGATAGTGAATGCAGGAGGAGAACAGTTTGAAGTGGGAGGATGATAAGATTTACCTGGAAAATACTGAGAGTGAAGTGTGGTAGTATCAAAGCTGTAGCTGTATGGGGAGGGAATGTGGGTTCCAGAGATCAGTCTGGAAAGGATAGAAAGCTGGAATTCTTAGCAAGCAATTGAAGCCATGGCTCTGAAGGATCTGGGCAGTATCAGATTAGAGGAGAGAAGGACGAGGGAGGGAGGGAGGCTGGGGAAAGCCTGGATTTAAGGGGTGGCTGGAGAAAAAGGTCATCATTGGGAATAAAGAGTAGGGGTAGTTCAGGAACTAGAAGGAAAACTAAGAATGAAGCCATGGGAGAGTGATAAGAAAAGCAAAATGCTACACAACAAATGTCATGATATAAGGATTAACAGCTGACAGCTAATGAATTTAACAACATGGTAACTTTTGGTGGCTCTGTCAGGGTCCAGTTAACAACAACAACAACAACAAAAAAAACTGCATTCGTTATTTTAACAGAGAATTAGAGGACTGAAAAAGGAAAAGGGAACATTAAGAAAGCACCAAGGAAGCAACCACCTCCTCTAGGGCCAGGGGAACAAAGGGAAAACACTGGAGTTACCTGAACCCAGACTCTCAGAGGAAAGGCCCCCATGGAGTTGGGCTCCAGTCTCTAGGGTAGGATGCTTCCAAGAGGATTCTGATACCTGTGGAACTCAGAGAAGAGGCCTCAAGGAGTTGGGTTCAGGGGATGGAAACTTTCTCCACTGGAGCTGATGCCTCTCAAGCTTGGAAGGTGTGCCCAGCTGAGCAGGAGCTCTGAGAAGGGGGGCATGAGGGTAGTTCTGGGGTACTGGTAGAAGCATAAGATTGGTGGTGAAGTCCAGAATTGATGTTAGTCATGCTAACATGAACAGGAAGCCAACAAGACACAGAAACCCCTTTTCACCTCCCCTTTCTTTCCAGTTTCTCTGAAGTTCTTCTAATAGCAAAACCCAGTGGAAACCAGGTGATAATGGAGAAACAGCATGTAAACTCCTGGTCCCAGGATCCTGCAGCACAGGCTAGAAAGGTGGTTTGAGTTTGACTGACTAGCTTTATAATCAGCACAGTGACCCTTGCCAGTCTAGTTTTAATGGATTTGAGGAACGCCATCTAGCATTGGGTTGAGAATAGAAATGGAGACAGTGAACAGGGACCAGTGAACAGGAGAACATTTTCAAAAAATTCAACTCTCTCCTACTAACTTGACATGCATATATATTTTGAAACCTCCTCAGAGCTATCTTTGATGGGCAGCAGGAGCCCTCCAGGCAGCAGGCTGCCAGTGCTGTCAGCCCAAATGGGATGAGAGTGCTTGGGGTCAAATCCCCATTGTCAAGGTGTTAGAAGAAACCTCACAGTGCTCTGTGGGCACAAAGGATGGAAATCAGAAAAAGTGGATGTATGTGTGCTGTACTTAGAGGAACACTTCGTAGATTAATCCAGTATATTTCTCTTTATTTCTTTTTGATAAAACTAAATTTTAGTGCATCCAGTACACATGCATGTGTATACCAACCACACAGAAATGCACAGCCAAAAGAAAAAAAAGGTTAAAGTAACCTTGAAAACCCATTGTGGATGCAAGACATCAATAAATTTCTAGGCAATGGAAGACACAAGATGTGGTGGTAACTAATCAAACAGGTTTTAAGAAACCATAGGCTTTAGTAACAAGGAAAGAAATACAGGCATATTAAATCCTGGAAAGACTTGAGATTCTGGAACACCAGTTCTAATAAAGGATTAAAGAAAGCCACGGACTGACTCTCCGCTGGGAGCAATTTTGCTACACCCTCAGGGGATATATCTTTGGCTATCACAGCTGGGAAGATGTATCTAAAACATGAAGGTTAGAAGCCAGGGCTGCTGCAAACTTCCTACAATGCACAGGACTACCCTTCAAGCATTATGAAGCTCAAAATGTCAATAATATCAAAGTAAAGATCTCATTCTAGCTTTATCAGTGATCTCCCACTTTCAGACCCTCTCCTATTTGCAGACTGACAGATATCCATATATCTGTTATGGGCTGAAATTGTCTTCTTAAAATTCATATGCTGAAGGCTTAAGCCCAGCACCTCAGAATGAGACTCTACTCAGAGATAAAAGGCCTTTAAAGAGGTTATTAAGTTAAAATGAAGCCATTATAATTGGCCTCAATCCAATATTCCACGTATCTTCACCATAAGGAGAGAGTAGGACATACAAAGACACAAGAGATGCACGTACACTAAGAAAAGACCGTGTGAGGACATAGCAAGGGTATGGGATGGCCATCTCTAAGCCAAGGAGAGAGGCCCAGAAGAAACAAACCCTGCTGTTAACTTGATCTTTGACTTTCAGCCTCCAGAAATGTGAGAAAACAATTTTCTGTTATTTAAGCCACCAAGTCTGTAATATTTTATTTTGACAGTCAAGTAAACTAATATGTACGCCTATGATACAAGTAATAAGAGGATATTTTTCCAAAGAAATAGAGTGACTGCACGAGAAAACTTCAAGTCTGGCAAATATGGTTCCCCAGAATTGTTGTCCACTCTCCTATGTCACATTAAAAGGAAATTCCAGGCTACAAGCACCACCATCCCAATCCCTCATCCCCAACCCCATGCACAAACACATACCCATACATGTACCTTTAGATCAGCTAATTGTCTGGTCCTTATGTATATTGGAACAATCAAAGAACCCAGATTTTGAGGAGAATCTATAACACAAAAGAGAGAAACCAAGGTAAATATGTACCTCTGGAAGGAACAGAAATAACTTAGGGACACAATTTAACTTTTAAAAACTCACAAATATTTCAGAAAAAGTAGTAAAATGTTATTATTATCAACAAAGTACATGTCAAAGGACATAACTCTCCAAATTAAGAAGACAACTAAGCGACCAAGGCAATGAGTTAGCAAATTTACAAATGTGTATCAACGTGTGTAGGCATATACCTCTAGACTATCATTGTAAAATTTTAGTACATCAGAAATAAAGAGAAAATACTCAGAAGCTTTAGCAAGAAAGAGAGAAATCAGAAAGATACTTGTAAAAGCTAACAACTTCAGTCAGCATTAGATCCCTCATCATCAGCCCCATGAGGCTGGAGAAGACCAACCCTGTACATGAGGTTGACCAAATGTCCCCAGGAATTCATGTCACATGGTTGTCTTCAGGTCTTTGACCAGATCCTGGTTCCAGGAGGGTTTCTAACAAGCAGATTCCTCCTGCTACCCAATTCTGAATGTCTTTCACAGGATCATGTGAGATTGAGCTGTCACATTGGCATTGACATGGAGATCTTATGTGGCTCTCTATATTAGTCAGTTTTTCATTGTAGTAATGAAACTAACTTATAAAGAGAAAAGGTTTATTTGGCTCACAGTTTTGGAGATTTAAAGTTTGAGATTGGGAACATCATAGCAGGAGTGTGTGTAGGAACAAGCAGTCACATCTCCAAAAGAGAATAAGCAAAGCCAGGATTTCTCCTATTATAACAAACATCACTAGAACTTCCAAAGGGGTCATACAAGAAATACTTCACATCTCTAGTGGCCTAAGGACCTCTCACTAGGCCCACCTCCCAAACTTACCACCACTTCCCAACAGCACACACTGGGGACCAAACTTTTAATCACAGTGGACCTTTGGGGACATTCAAACCATACATAAGCCTTAGCACTCTCAAACACATCACACACAGGAAAAATACATTACTTTTTTCTCATGATAGGATATATGAAATTAGTCAAGAAAGGTACCCTGAATAATAAAAGAACAAAGAGATGGTGCTTGGACATTATAAAGAATCTACACATACACTCCCTGAATAATACATATTATTACCTCATCTCTTTTCAGTACTCTGAGCACCATACCCCAACATGGACCTATGAGTTTTGTAATTTTTTTTTCAGTATTGGGGATCAAACCCAAGGCCTCATGCATGCTAGGCAGGCACTCTACCACTGAGCTACATCCTCAGCCCCTTGTATAATTTTTTAATCAAATTATTTATGTAGAAAGAGGCCCTATAAAATTATTTACCTGAGGCCCCACATACCTAGGGGCAACCCTGTTTTTAGGAAATTATTGGAGGATGTGCTCCAGCTCATAAAAAAAAGAGAAAAAAATTAAAAAAAAAAAAATAGAGGGCTGGGATTGTGGCTCAGCAGCAGAGCGCTTGCCTAGTATGGGTGGGACCTGGGGTCAAGTCTCAGCATCACATAAAAGTAAAGGCATTGTGTTGTGTCCGCCTACAAAAAAGATTCATATTCTCTCTCTCTCTCTCAAAAAAAAATATTAAAAAAACAGAAGCTTTAGGATCCAGGAAACATGATATTTGATACAGAAAAAGAAATAAGCAACAGGAGAACAAATAAATAAACACAAATATATCAGTCAGTTAATATAGATCAAAAGAGAATAATGGATAGTTCTTGGAAAAAAAAAGAGACACAGATGAATTCCTAATATAACTTTAAAGTTTTGAAATGAGAAAATGATAAGAGCAAAGTTATGATGAATAAGAAAAAGCAATTAGAAACTCATGGAAGAAAAAAAATGCTGTACAAGAGAGGCAATGTAGTTAGTCATCATCCTTCATTCGGCTCTCAGTAAACTGCATTTACTTAACAACTCTTAGGTAAACACTGATTATTGATTTTTAGCTTTCACATATAACCTACAAATATGTCATGAGACAATTATGATCATAAAATAGAATGTAAATGTCATCAACTTTAACAACATAGAAAAATTCAAATGATAGAAGCTGAAGAGGAGTGGAAGGAAAGGTAGGTGGTAATGGTCTATCTTTCAAAGCATGGAATCAGGATTATGACCTAATGATAAATTTTAAAATAAGATCATAGTTTTTTTAAGTTTCAAAGTTATCCCATGAAGAAACTAGAAGTAGTGGTAACTATACTGGAAAGATGGGTAAGAACGGAAGTACTCAGAGTAGAAATTACTACCTAATACATAAAATTGAATTCATCAAGATGCTGTCTTCTAGGGAGTGAAATTTGAGGTGCTATGGGGTAAGAGTCAGTTACTTTTCATTATAAACATTTGACTTTAAAACTACAAATAATAGTGGCATTTCTTTGATAAAAATTAAATTCTAAATACACACAGGCAAACACACACAAAAAAACACACTAAAAAATATGGTGACTGGAGAAGATGATTTTGAAGACTTCCTTCATGTCTAAAATCCATAGAAAGTGCTCCTGAACTTAGTCCACTCTGGAGGAACCCTGTAATTTTCCCCTTCAGAAAGTCTGGTATATATCCAAGCTATCTGTTGAGAAGCCTGTCCATGTCACTAGGAACCTCACAAACATTATTTTAATAAATGTCAAATTTCACTCCTGACCTTATTTTATCTTCTCAACAGCTCTATGAAGCAATTAATGTAATCATCTGCATTTCCAAGATGAGATTCAATGAGACTAAATTAATGTCCTGAATGGCACGAGCTTTAAATTGCTACAATGTGATTGAACATATGGGCGCATCAGTCCTTTCTCTGCTGCCATATTATACCACTTTTAGGGAAGAAAGGGAAAAGTAAGAAAAATGACATTCCCAAGAGTTAAGCCTCAAGTGAGATGTCTATGTAAATGCATTGCCCTGAGGTTACAGCCTAGCTCCTTTTAATCTGATGCAGGCTGGCAAATTGTTGCCTCCTCCGTGTAGGCTTCCAAATATCAATAGTGCACTCACCAAGGTTTTGAGAGCTCATCAAAAGACCTAAAAAGACTCACCATGACTGGTATCAATGTAGTGTACAGCATCCAAACAGTGTAACCATTTGGCCCCCCAGCTGCGACACTTTTCCTCATGTTGAATCCATCGTCCCTCTTGATATCTTTTGCAAGTCCCAAGTCATGGTTTACTCCTGCATTTATCACTCATACTGCAGTGAGGAAGATGTTTCCAGCATAAGCAGTTATCAGGAGCGGGAAATTCAGGAAACATTCTAGATGGGATGTCATTCATGCCTGTCATAGAAAATTTCCCAAGTCCTCCCTGGGATTGCTGGCTTATGCAAGTTTACCTACATCAAACTCATGTTTGGTACTATGGGGGCTGCAGAATTTCTAAAGGTGTTTCCTATTAATAAAATGAGTTCTTTACTTGCAGAAACTCCTTGAGAAACTGGACAAAGTTATGTAAATTCTGTTTGAAAATGAAAATATTAGTTATTAAAAGTGGCTCTGTCAGGTTAGAAATTACAGGCTCATGGAAACCTTGGTTGGTCCTTCTGGTTCCATCTGGTTCTCTCTCCTTCTTTTTCTAAGTGTCATTCTTTCCCTCCCCAGTGCTAGCTGTTCAGACATGGTAGACTCCATGGCCTTTCCCCCAGCTGGGTCAGAATGACATTGCCTCTTCAGGTTTTTTCCTCTTTTCTCCTCCTCTCCACGTCACACTTAGGAGATAACTTGATGATGAATAACACCAGCTGGTATGTATTGATGTACTATCTCACCCAATAACACATTTCCATTTTACTGGAAATCTTCAATGCTAAAATCTAAGCATTTGGCAGATGGAAGAACATGTGGGCCCTGTGGCAGGTAGACTGATATGGTGGCCACTTTGGAGCAAATGACCCAGAAATCCTCAAATCTCCTCAAGGAGGCAGTCAAGTAAACACCCAAGGCTATTCATATTCAGTGCCAGAACTGTATGGCATGCTGCAAGAAATGTAGGCCACCTAGAAGTCCTACAATTAATGATGCTCTTCTGTTGAAGTGTGGAAATATCTTTTCTAGGTACCTACATATTTCTCAATTTTACATTTTAATATCACTCGAGTTTTATAATCAAGTCTCCCTGGTTGCAGTGAAGTCTACCTGTTCAAAATTATACTATCCAGTAAAATAAACTCAATATTGACAGAAATCACCTCCTTACTCCAAAGACCCAGTGGTGCATAGTTTCTTCGATGTGTAGATTTGTATTTTTAACTCATGTTTTTTAAAAAATGCTCAACATAGACATAAAGGGAATACTTTTAAAGGCTCAAATTCAGACTTACAGCAAGAAATAAAAAGATAACAAAATAAGTGTAAAAAATAGCAACTTTCATATAATCAATTTTCAGATTAGACTCCTATCTTAAGTGAGAAAGGAACTGCAATATTTTAAATAAATACATGGGCTTCCTCCTTTTAGTGGATTGGATATATAAATTTAGCCTAAATTTCTTGAATGGATACGTAAGAAACTATTTATAACATTTTCCCTGTCCTATTTAACTTATGACTAATCCTAAACAATTAAGAGAGTCAGACAGCTGAGTATATAAAGAAGCAAACATGTCAAATAAACAGAGGGTCACTTTTGACTGAAATCTAAAGCCCCCCAGATAGCTGTAGGGACCACTTAGCCATGCCTACTAATGGAAGATGCAAAAGAGTTCTACAGAATTCTTCATTCTAAGGGTAAGAAAAGCCCATGATCCTGTATGATCTGGATGGCATGGTCATTTGATAGGGACAAGGAGGATTCTCTAGGCACCTCTGAAGGCTTCAAAAGTAACTTTCAATTTTTTACCTGTCTCACAACAATTCTTCCAAGTGGACCTTTATTTTGAAAAATGGGAAACAAAAACCTACATCCACTTATTGCTGCTTCTCTATGACACCCACCTCACTAAAATCTCTCCACAGCCACAAAGATAAATCTTTTATAAAGTAAGGCTGCCCCAAAGCCTAT